TAGAAGTGGTCTCCATTAATCGATCTCTGGGTATGAACAAAAAAGACGTTGAGAGCTGCTAGAAAATACTCTTATCGAGAACGATCTTATGAATAAACCTGGACATATCTACAATATGGATGAGACGAGCTTACAACTCAATAATAGGCCGGGACATGTTACTGTTAAGAAATGATCTAAGAGCATCGCAGGTAACAGTTCCGGTGAAAACGGAGAAACCATCACGGTTTTAGCCTGTTGTAACGCATAAGGTGTTATTCTTCCCCCAACCAGCGTAATGAAAGGAAAAAATAAAAAACAAGAGTTTGAGGATGGGATGCCTCCTGAATCCTTGGTCTACATGTCTGAAAGATCGGCCTATGTCAACAGTGACATATTTTTTCACTGGCTCAAAGATCAGTTCGTTCCCAGAAAGCCGACAGGGGCGTTTTTGTTACTGCTCGATGGTCATGCTTCACACTGCAATAACTTTGAGATGCTAGAATACTGTGTTGAACACAACATCATACTGCTTTGCTTACCAAGTCATACGACGCAATTTTACAGCCGCTAGATAGATGCTTTTTCAGATCGCTAAAATTAAACTACTACTCAGCTTGCAATTTATACATTAAAAATAATCCAGGACGAAAGCTCACTAGATTACAATTTGGAAAGATACTTGCTGAAGGATGGAACAAGTCTGCAACTGTAAATAATGGAACTTCGGCATTCAAGGCTACGGGAATTATGCCATTCAATCCTCCTGCTATCCCAGATGACGCCTATTTGACTGAAATTAACATCATACTTGAGGCTCCTAATGCAGGCAAAAATAAACAAATTCCAGATGATAGTTCTCAAAGTTTTAACAAAGTCTTATCCCATGATGATCAACAACCTTGCTGCAGTTGGCAGAAAAACCAAATTCATCGGTTGCAGAAAAACAAAATAAATCGGTTGTAGAAACTAATGCAGATACTCCCGTGAAAAGTACCCCCGGAAAAATGCTAGATATAATCTCACCCGTTCCAGTTGTTTCCGCTGACGTTAATTCGGTTCGAAAACGAAGCAAGCAGCTGGCAGAAATTTTAACTACAGAGACAACAATTGGCGAAAAAAGAACGAAGCATCTAGAAAAAACAGAGAAGGAGAGACAAGTAAAGACCAGAAAATTAAAACCGGTTTTGAAGAAGCCAAAAGTGACTAAAAAGAAAACAAGGAAAGCTGCCAAAAGCGATTCATCCTCAGATGAAGGACTAGAGGCACCGGCGTTGGATGACTCTTCAGATGATATGGACGACAATGACCAGACTTGCACCGGTTGTGGCGAAATACGAGTATATTCCCAAACCACAAAATCTGACGACTGGGTTAATTGCATACGTTGCATCAAATGGTTTCACGATTCCTGCTCCAAGTTTGTGAACTTTTGCCACGGCTGTGGTGTTGTTATATACAAAACAAAGTGACATTTTGGTAGAAACACCTTTTTCTTTGTTGCGCCATCTCACCTCAGCACTGTGGGGGAGATGGTTTTTGTCAACTATTTTTATTTTTCTTGTGAATTATAAGTTTTATTTTTTATTGCATTTTATTACTTAATACATGTTTCTAAACTCAATAAAGACTCGTTAAAAAAATTAACAGTAATTCTAATTCAACATATAGAAATTTTAACATGAAATTTCAAAACCTGGGCCATCTATCCCCGAATTACCCTAAGTAGAGTGGCAAGCCTATTATCTAGCGACCGTATAATTTCATCGTTTAAATTTAAAAGAGCAGTGGTTGTATTATGCTCTCCCCTAAAACCCGACTGGTGCTTAGGCAGACTGTTTTGATCTATTGAATACTGATTTAGTTGTACATTAATTATTTTAACTAATAGGTCTTAAATGAGCAAGCTCAGTTGGAGCAGGGATCTTAGGTAAAGGGCATACTACAGCCTCTCTCCAAAGTGGAGAAAACTATCCTTTCTCCAAGCAACAGTTTATAATGTATGTCAATGGATTAAATAACTCTGATATACAAAGCTTGAGCATACACAAGGTTATACCGTCAGGACTACATGCATTGGATCTTATCTTCGATATATGCTCCAGTACAACACTGGTCAACAAATCTGAATGTGAAGCTGGAATCACTCATTTTGCTGGAGTAATATCTGGTAATAAGAGCATTAGATTCATTATTTTCAGTATATGCAGACATGCAGGACCTGTTTATTTCATTAGGATCGCTTAAGGATGGCGGAAGTGAAAAGGAAGAGGAATTATTTATATTCATGTTTTTCAGAGTTTTCCAAAATTGCCTATTATTTCTCTGAGAATACAAATAGTTAAGATATGTACGTTTTTCTGTTCTCATTTCCATCAATGCAAAGTTCCTCATCTCTTTGTAGTGCCTAAGATGTTCTTCGGTTCTATTTAACTTGTAAGTGTGTAATGACCTGCCCCTCTCCTTGAAAATCAGTTTAAGTTTATCTGTAAGCCAGGGAGCTGGCGGCCTGTTAACTCTGACAGTAATTCTAGGAGCATGAATGTCGAGCAATAATATAACATAGCCAGTCAATAATCTTACTTTTGCATCGATACTTTGTACAGTACAGATGTGATGCCAAGGAATGGAGCGTAAGTGCATCATGATCTACGTTTTTATAATCACGGCACGTGACAAACTGTTGACAAGAGTTTTGTCAATACAGGGACGATTTACACAATACAAGTTATAAGACCATTCGTGGAATTTTTCCCAAAATCGTAGCAAAACACTTGAAAAAATGCAAATGAGAATTTAAAATTATTTCCATGACGCCCCAAAATAGCTGCGTCGGTATCTCTGGTTATACATCTTAACACTAGGGATGTTCGATACAATCATATATTTAGAAGTATGGATAGATTTGTTTCCCATACCCGATATTTTGGATCGATATTTTTATATACGACACTTGGGTGTATCGATTCATTTCACGAGTATCGTCATCTTCCGATCCGGACTTTGTCAGAAAGAGTGACTGATTCCAGATTACTTTTCTTCTTTGCTTCCTTCTGCTGGATATCGATAATTTTATTCCAATATTTTAGAGTATCGATACTTCCTAAAACGACAGGAATCGATACATAACGATACTTTTCGTGGATCTAAACATCCCTAATCTTGACAGCTTGTCGTTCTTGTCAACTGGGCTGCAGGGTGCGGTCTGCCTTCACTATCTTACATTTTGCTAAAATCTTATGACAAATAAAAGCCTCAAAAGAGATATTGACCAATATGAACGGATATGCATAGAATTTAGGATATAAATTCATATTGCAAATTTCATACTGTCTATGCATGGACTTGAACCGGATTTTTCGGTATTTTTACCGAAAAGAGAATATTTACCGATAACATCATTTCCACGATTTTTCAAAATAATTTAAATACATAAGCTATCTGTTTTCAAAATAAATGTTTAATTAAAATGAGAGGTGAGTTCAGGGGTAAAACAGAAAAATATTCACAATCCCATAAGCAATAATGGAAAAAGGAGTTTCAGGAATGGTTTGCAAAATATTTTGAAAGAGCAACCAGCATGGACATTATAGAAGTTGTAAGATAGAACTATGCCCTCAAAAAACATGTTGTGTGCGCGCCCAATACAGTAACAGACGTTTTTCATGACTCAAAGGTCCTTGATCTACCACTGATCTTGGGACGGCATTTACCTTATACCGAACTCAACGACACTATTCACCGATTCCGTTTACTTCCGGGTCGGCAACACTGCAGATCACTTTAAAAGCAATTGATATCCCAGACGTGTTATAATAATAGAAATATAAGAAAATATAACAATGTTTGGAGATATATTTTCATAAATAGATATTTTTGATTCTGGCTTATAATATCTAGACGATGAATAATAGGTGGATGCGGCTACTTTTACAAATATCGATGTTCTATGACCCAGAAATGCAGAATGTGCTGTCTGTTAACATCTGGTGTGGATTTCTAGGTCATAAGTTGGCAAAAATTGTTTTTGATGCAACAAAAGATGATAAACCAGTTGGAAAACATAATGTATACTTTATCTGTCACTTGAAACACTGAAATACCGGGTGCGTTTTATATATCTGGGCTGAAATACTTTTGTGTGCCTAAAAATTGGTCCCCTGAAATGAAATCTACTTTTTGGGCGAACCGTGAGCAATTTGTACAAAAATGACAGTGATTCGTTAATATAACACTGTGGGTTAATCAAACTACAACATGAAATTTAACTAAAATTTTATATTTATTGGAAAATTTTAGTAACATTGTTGTCTTTTCCAGTAACGCAGTAGTTTTCCATACAAAATATTACTGTCCCTACACATCAGTCTCATGATATAGAGACCAGCCTCGCGTATTCTCTGCTAGGTGGCCTTTCATGAAAATTATGCTCAAAACTACTTCATTCAACCTTGTTTAGGGCTCCAATAGATACGATTTACTTTGAACGTGAAACGAAATAAAAAATATTTTATATTGTATCCCCAGCAAAGCACAAAATCTTAACTACCCTGAGTTTCTATGTGAAAATAGAACTTAAAATAAGTGTATCGCTAAAACATGTACCTCATTCCATTTGACTTGATGTGACTATTAATTCGAGCAGTGGCCGTTAGGTAAGCTGACTCAGCGAATTGAAGTAGTCGCTTGACAGCCATTATAAGAGATGCGTGTGTTTATTGTGCGAATGCTGAGTTACCGTCAAAGAAATGTAAGTAAAGCTGATATTTGATTTATGAATTTGTGATTACATAGTCATTTAGGTATATTCTCCAATGCCGATAATGAAATTGCTTTGGGTTGTGTGATTGAGTGCAGACAAATGAAATAATCAAAAATTGACCACTGCGTTACTGCTACATTGCGTTACCAAAAAAGTAACGCAGTTGTTCCGCTAGTAACACAGCTGTTTTAGGTGCACTAGTGGAACCAAAATACCCATTCGACACTCCTTTGATTTTAGAAAGAAGTTTATCAACGAAATGGCTCTGACACCAGCGGAAAAGCAGCGTCGGTATAGGCTGAAGTTGAAGCTGGACCCCGTAAAAAATGATGAAGCTAAAAGAAAACACCTTGAAAGATACCACGCCAAAAAAAAACTAGTGAAAGATATGACTGAGCGAGAGCATAGAGCTGCTAAACGTAGATGGAAGATTGCAAATAAGAAACGGCGAGAACGACAAAAAGCTGCACAGCAACTGGTAGAAAACACGCCGCCTTTCACACCACGTTCAGGAACTCCAGATTCTCCCAGGTGTAGAAGCCGGAAACGGGTGAGGCGCGACCAATCTGCGTTATATAGACAGAATGTGAAATTACAGGAAGAACTGGAAAGACTAAAAAAGAAGTGTAATAAGTACAAGAAGAGGTATCAAAGGGCGACAGCCTAGGATCAATCCTGATAACACTAAATATTCTACATTATCAAATGCTATTAGGGTTCATTACACAGGACTGACAACAGTAAAAGAAAAGAGAGCTCTAAGACAAGTTTCCCACGGAGAAGCCATATCAAAGTCAAAAATGAAGACTGCTATTGTGCGTGAGACTTTGGGCATTGACCAGCTAAAACGAAAGCTGACTCTCTCTAAGAAATCGGACCTTATTAGAAAAATCAAGGAGTTCTTTAATCGCGACGATGTTTCTAGAGCTACAGCGGGAAAGCGAGAAACTGTAACCTACAAAAAAGTAAAAAGTCAAAACCGATATTTACTTGACACAATGAAAAACCTTTACTGTTCATTCAAGAAAGAGTTTATAGGTGAGAGATGTTCATATTCATACTTCATAAGACATCGACCGTTCTATGTAAAGCCGCCTACAGTTGGTGGTAGAGAAACTTGCCTATGCAAGTTACACACTAACACGCAGTATATAATAAATGCTCTCCATAAAAACAAAATCATTCCTGTTCCAAATATGAGCAACCTCGTGTCAAGCTTAGCATGCTCAACAAATAGAAGAGCGTGCATGACCGGTAACTGTGGAGACTGCAATACTAAACCAATAGTATGTAATATACGGAATGACCTTCACTCACAATCAGTTAAATGGCCTCAGTGGGTTAGAAAGTGTGAAGTGATAGAGAGGTCAAGTAAAAAAGTGAAGATTACAAAAAACGTAAAAGAAATTGTTGAAGGGACTGTTCCAGAATTAATAGGAAGGTTTAATAAAACCCTGAGAGAATTGAAAAAACACATCTTTAACATAAAAATACAGTATAGGAGTTATAGAGATGCTATAGATAATTTGAAGAGTGATGAAATCGTTCTACACATCGATTTCAGCGAGAATTATAGCTGCAAATGTTTTGAAGAAGTGCAGTGCCATCATTTTGGCGGCTCTAGGAAGCAGGTTACATTACATACTGGAGTTATGTACACCAAAACAGAAGGAGAGGACAAACCGACGATAATGTCATTTTGTACCATCTCTGGAAATAACTCTCACACTCCCGTGTCTATTTGGGCACACCTCCATCCAGTTATTAGCAATTTAAAAACTGTACATCCTAATATAACAACAATCCATTTCTTCTCCGATGGTCCTGCTACTCAGTACAGGCAGAAACTAAATTTCTATTTCATATGTACGGAAATATTCAAGTACAACTTCGATCGCGTCACATGGAACTTCTTTGAAGCAGGTCACGGCAAAGGTGCCGCTGATAGTATTGGTGGTTACCTTAAACGCACTGCAGATAAAAAGGTAGCGACTGGTTCAGATATTTCTGATTCAGAAACTTTTTTCCACACATTGAGGAACTCGAGCAAGGTCCGTCTGTACTTGGTGACTGATAATGACATTGAAAATGTCGAAAAAACTGTACCAAAAAATGTAGTACCACTCCAGGGTACTATGCAGGTTCATCAAGTTTTCACTGATACTCCAGGTGAATTAAAATATAGAGACCTTAGTTGTTTCTGTCAAAGAGGGTTTTGCTTATGCTTGGATCCAAAAACCTATCGGCCAGTTCCTACTCCCGTCGTTGGCAAAATCAGCAACTCTACAGAAAAGTGTTATGCAGATGGATTGAACAACAAAGAACTACTAGCCGATATATCCAATGTCCCTACCGAATCTAGAAGAAGTTACTACAGCATGGTTTACTCCCCATCTTCTAGCTCTGACGAAGAGGTTCTTGCAAACTTGGACCAGCCATCTGTGTCTAACGTAAAAGAAAAACAGCTAATAGATAAGGAAAACGTTCATCCATCGAAGATATCAGATGGTGTTTACGTTTTAGTTAAAGTTTCTTCCGTTAAAGACAAACATTATACTTACCTGGGAGTGGCTAAAAGTACTGTTGATGAAGAGGGAGACGTCAAGGTCATGTTTTATAAGACTGTAGATTGTACTGCTAAAATTTTTAAAGCAGTCGAGACTGATATATCTTACGAACCTTATGACAATATCTTGCAAATCGTTCCTAATCCTAAAATGGTCATGAAAGGTAAACGAGCATTCTTCGAGTTTGACGAACCATTGAACGTTTTTGAAAAATAAAACTTATGTACGTTTGCATAATAGTTTTTAAGATGTTGAATTATTTTTGTTACTTTATGGTTGTGCAAATAATTCGAAGTATATACTGTACGATAATGAAGTTTATACCTTACAGTTATGTTATCTTATATTGCGTTATGACCTCGGAAGTTCATTTTTTAGTTTATTTTTGAGCCTACTAGATCTACTTTATGAAGGCATAAAGTGATGTGAGTATGATACCACTTTGTTACTGTGGTTACCATTGCGTTACCATTTTGTCCCCAGTTTTGAACAGCATTAAGAATAATGTTTGCGTTTCTTGTAAGTGAAAATTGTCTTGATTCCATATGTACCTGTTTTTCACCAAAAGTCCAAGCTTATCTCGCTATTTTGGTTTAGTATACGATTTTTGCTGTTGTTATTTTATATAAGTTTATGTCTATAAATACGACATTAGTAACGTAGTTGTCTAAACTATAACAAATATTTCTTTGAACTTATCAGTTCTGTGATATTACTTAATGGGAGGATAGTATTAATGGTACAGTGTAAGGGCGCCAGAGTAGCGAGCTCAGCAGCGATGTTTCGAAAATAAAATTTCATTTTGTAGTAAAGTAACGCTGTTGTTTGATTTCACCACCACTTCCTACATAAACTGCCAAAATCATTGTAGTCTCATTGAAAACTTCGCTGCAGATGTAACCATAGCATGGAACAAGCTATCACCATGATGTAGCTGCCCTGAATTATAAGAAAATATCATATTGATTTTCCCAGTTTTTTTCCGAAACTACATCTGGAATTAGGCATCGAAAAGTATTTTGGCCCATCTATATTTAACACGCTCTGTTGCTGCAAAAATCGCCAAATTTCGCAGCAAATATCCCTTGTATAAGATCAAAGGCAGTTTCACCGGTCCATGTGGAGTAAAGCACGCCTATGCGTGGACATAGTCAATGAGAAAGCGTGCATTTCAGAGCTCTGAACAAGTGCAGGTGGCTACTGAAAATTGAAACAGTTTAGCCAGTGCCGTGTAGCGGTGAATAAACGTGTTTTCTTTAGTCTGTCCGTGTTTTTTCATAGATTTTATTAGTTTGTGTGTTTTTGACTTTTGAATACTTAGTTTACTTGTTGATTTAATTGTTGTGTTGATTGTTCTTGTGTGTCCTAAATATGGCTCTTTGGAGACCTTGGGAAAATGCTCCAAGCTACGAGGAGATGGTTGATGAACCTGTGCAGGCAGAATTCTTTCATAAAGATTTAGAGGAACAGACCCAAAGAGTAATCCTAAATATGTATGATTGTCTGAAAAACGAAAATCCAGATTCCTCGCAGAATCAAATTTTAAACAGAATTTGTATCCTGACAAAAATCAGTCGGTCTACCATTTATCGGGTTATAAAAAGGGGAGATGTAGTCAACCATTCCTTCCACAGAAAGCGCATACGGCAAAAATTAAAAAGAATAGACGTGGGTTCTCAGGAAGATATTCGTCGTATAATATACGGATTTTATAAAGAAAATTTGGTTCCCACGTTGGAAATGATACGGGATAAATTAAAAGATTATCCTGAATATTTTTATAATTACAAATGCTTAGACTCACTGCACTGTATTGTAAAACTGTGTGGTTTTCAATACAAAAAATTAGATAAAAGAATGGTGATTATGGAGTCGTCTCGAATCGTTGAATTGCGCCAAGAATTTTTGCACAAAGTTAAAATCTATAGAGAGCAGAAAAGAAATCTGATTTACCTGGATGAAACGTGGTATGATACCCATGATGTTGTGCAGTACGGCTGGGTTGATGACAGCAACAAGTGCATTTTAAATGCACCATGCAACCGTGGAAAATGAATCACTATTCTCCATGCTGACAGTGAAAATGGATTTATACCTAATGCCTTGCTGTTATCTGCCAAAAATATCAAAGAATCATGTGCCGACTATCATGAGGACATGACCTCCGACTTATTTGAAAAGTGGATAGAGCAGCAGTTAATACCAAACATTTCCCCAAATTCAGTGATTATTATGGACAATGCGCCATACCATTCCCGACAGAAAAACAAAATTCCTAATACAGGCACAAAGAAAACAAGACATTATTGATTTTATGAAGGATAAGGGAATGGAAATACCACAAAAATCAACCAAAGCCATATTATTGGATCTTATTAAAAGACAAAAATTTGAAAAAGAGTATGTTGTTGACAATCTGCTTCAGCAAATTGGCCATGAAGTATTACGTCTACCTCCCTATTACTGCATTTTTAACCCGATTGAGTTGGTCTGGGCTGCTTTAAAAAAAAAAGTAAGAAAACATAATCAGACCCCTCAATTAAGTGAATCGCTATTGGCCACAATAAGAGATGCAGTATCTCATATTATTGAAAAAGAAAATGAATATTGTGTTTTGCCTCCTGTAAATCCCGTTGTAATTCCTCTACAAGATGACTCTAGCGACAGCTCCGAAGGCGAGGATGATATATAAATACCTATAATGTAAGTCTTTATATACCTTTTTATATACCTACCTGCTATGTAAATATTTGCCTATGTCAAACGTTGGAATTCTGTAATTTTTCCATTTCTTAACTTTCAGTCAACATAAATTAAACTCCCAATATAAGTATTTTTTATCCCAAATCAGAAAAATAAGAAGATAGTAAAATCCATTTATTGTGATATAAAAACATTATTATTATCGTTCTAAATAAATGACCGCACGCCTATGATACGTCATGAAATTACAAAGGACGCGCCGACCGAAGGTTTTTATACTATTTCAAGTGACTTCAGATAAAGTATACCCTTATTTATAAGGCAACCGGTTTTTCACGACTTTATTCAGCATTTCAATAGAAATCGCTGATATTCACAGAGCTTTGACAGCTTCTGTCAAATTGCATTTCGATAAGGTCTTTTCCTATTTGTCCAAGGGACCGATAAATATTAATGTTGGTGAAAGTAGCCCTTAATGTTGCATTTCTTACGTGAATGTCCAAAATCTGGATGTAGGTAGAGCC